ACCACCACTCATATTCACAGTCAGCGATGTATATGAGACTTCCCAAAGACCATGAAGCAGGGGTGTCAAACTCAACCACTAAAAGGGCCATAGTGTAAAATGTCAACAAGTCCATGGGCCAGAGAATGCCTATGTTTATATTTCATTTTTAAATAACATTTAGCTATGACCTATATATATGTATATATATATATTTGCTATAACCTATAACTGGCCATTGGTTATTCAAAATACGCCAATAGCAAAATATAGGCACTTCTAGTAGACCCTGAAATATTACATTAAAAAAACTATCAATATTAAAAGGAAAATGGCCCCAGGAGGTAGGTCTTTTAAACTTAAACTAGACATCTGGCATCTTTTCTTTGCTTCAAGTTCATTAATTCTTGGGGTCAAATTCTGAGCTGTTGAGCTGAGCGTTTATATTGGTTGAACTGCAGCTGAAATGCAGCAAGTGATATGATTGGCATGGTAGAATTGAGATGTAACTGCTGTCAAATAGATTGTTCTTGGGGGAGAGGAGTAGGAGTGCATGCTGGGGACTGTAGTGCAGAGCATTGTGAAATGGGCTAGTATTATTGAAAAATTAAAAATAATTTTGAGGGCCAGATAGGATTTTGTCACAGGTCTGATCTGGCCTTGTGTTTGACATACGAGGCCTTGAGCAACATTTTTTCTCAAGAAATGTGTCTATTGCAAACCAAAGTGTGAGAAGTTGATTCCTTTGTCACTTCGTAATTTGATAATGGTTAATCTAACGCGTGATGGCTCCTCTTCAGCTCTTGAAGTGGGGGTTCCCCGCTGCTAATAAGTAAATTCAGCTACTTTAAAGGGCACTTGTTGCTGGTGTTCAGTTGTGCACATACATATTGTATAATCTCCATGGAAAAGCATTCCTAATAGAATTGGACACCCCTGAGCAGCTGCACATAGACATAAGATCACCATGCTCAATGCCAAGTGTCGGCTAGAGGGGTATAAAGCCCCCCAGCATTGGGCTGTGGAGCAGTGGAAGTGAGTTATCTGGAGTGATGGAGGAACATCCAATACAATTGGGATGAGTGGCACTCATGATCCAGAACTAATCAACCAACATCAATAGCTGACCTCATGAATGCTCTTGTCTCTGAATGTAATCAAATCCTCACAGCAATGTTCCAACATCTAGTGTAAAGCCTTTCCAGAAGAGCAGAGGCTGTTACTGCAGTAAAGGGTGGACAAATTCTCTGCTAATACTCTTGATTTCAAAAGAAACATCGGATCAGCAGGAATCTACAAACTTTTTTGGATGTATAGTGTAGCTACCATGGCCGTAATGTTGCCTGTTCAATACGACAGTAAGCTCTATCATATGGACAAGCAGAGATTCAGAGATGAACAGATAAAATAAAAAAAAGATGGAAGGAGTGTGTGTGAAGATTTCCTCTACAGTGTTGTGAGGTGAAGTTGAGAAGTGTGTATTAGGATTTGCTTTGTTAAATGCTTGATGGCCTCTACACAATGCCTTATTTATTAATGCCTCTGCATATTGGCACAGCAAATGGAAGCTCTATTAAGGAGAATAAATTAGGATTAAAGGGGAAACATGCCGCATTTTCATTTTAATTAAATGTGTTTATTATTTATTTTCAGTGGATATAGCTTGGGGAATAAGAGCAGATGAAATGCCCAGCTGGCCTCAATACATCACAGCAAAGAAAAACAGAACAGAAATACAGGAAACAAGACAGAAAGTTAATGTTCTGTTCTGGAAAAAACAGCTACATTTCATTATAATTAGTGAGCACAATGTCTAATGCATTTAAGAGCCACACGGCATAAATGATCACTTTTTGTCTCCTGTTTTCAGAAATGTTAAAATTTCTCAAAGAGATATTCATGTATTCCAACTACTGAATGTTTTAAAAGTTGAGGACTAGACTACGACTGTCATAATGATAGCTGGCTATGTAATTCTATGTGGGTCACACTCTCAACACCTTTTTAAACCTTATATTATACAGTGCTGTGCAGAAGTCAGATACCACCCTTCATTTATTATTTATTTATCATTAGGTTCCAGTCAAAACAGCAATTAAGTACTTCAGTTATTCATTTCTCAGCATCAAGAAACACTTAATAGTAAGTTACACAGAGGCCTTGACAACTGAATATAATATAATTTTTTCAGTGTTAAGTGTGTCCACTCTTTGCCTTTAGTACAGCTTTTCAGGAGACCTGCTTTCAGTTTTTTCAAAGAAATCTACGGGGATATTTTTCCCAAAGTTCGGTCTAAGAAGTTGGTTGCATTTTCTGCTTCTCACAATCCAATTAATTCCGAATTCATTCAAAGACGTTGAGGTCTGGACTCTGGGGTGGTCAGTCCGTTGTTCTGAGAACACCAGCAGCTTCTTTGATTTGCAAATTTTCTTCTGTTTTCCTCTCTCAGTAATAGCTTTTTCATAGCAACACATCCTTTCAGACTTACAGTGTTGAGTTGTCCTCTCACAGTGGAAGGATGGACAGAAACACCTGTGAATTTTTCAGATCTAAAGCAAGAGTGGAGCTTAATTTTCTCTCTAAGATTTAAACACAGTTTTGGTGGTTTGCCAGGTCTTACTTGATTTTTGTGAGCCCCATTATTTCTAAATCTTTAACTCTAGGATTGTAAACTCCTGTTTTTTCATTTTTCTTAGACGTTCCCCTTTTTTTCCCCACAAGTGTTTGAAGCTATTTATCTGACCAGTAATCATTTCTTTGCTAATAAACAAAACAATAATCTAAATAAATACAAGTGATTTGAACAGTAATTCAGAGAGAGAGAAAGAGAGTGGTTGGTAAGAATGACCTCGTATACAACTTGGAAGAAAGGCAGAATAATTTTATTGCTGAAATACAGGCTAATAATACTGCATCAGTGTCAAGAAACAGTATAACATGGGGCGTAATTACAGAAGTGTAAATAGCATGATGTTACTTTGAACACTAGGTGTAAATAGCAAAACAATGTCATTTACACTAAGTGTACATAGCAACATCATTCTGTTTGCACTTAAATAGCATCTTTGGGGGAGAAAAACATCAGCTTATCCACAGGTGTCAGCTTTCCCTTTTTCCCACAAATGCTGGGAAAAGCAGACTTTGCCCAGTCTCTATCAGGCTGGCTCAGACTGAAGTTTATTCTGGCCAAAGTCATGTGTTTACCCTCTGAGATATTGTATCGCACTGGAAAATTTTCTCTCTCTTTCTGTGGCTTCTAAATGGTGTGCTGCTATTTTTGCTGCTCATTGTGGCTTCGTGATAACATCCATGACAGATTAGCAAATAAATACCTGTTTTTCTTCATAGTTTTTTTCACACACCTCTGAACCATGTACAGCATATTCCCAGGCACAAAATATGATAGTGTTAATTCACTCTTTTAAAGATCACTGTTTGCTGATGGGGAAACGTTTCAGACAAACAGCAGCTGATGCATTTTAAAACTTTCCGAAACTAACACTGAAATTTACACCTCATTCTAGGGCAAAAAGAAAATACTATGATGATTGAAGACATTTTCATGATGCACTCTTGAAAATAAATGTGCCAAAAAGCTTTCTTTGAACCACTTTGGATAACCAAGTAAATGATATGAGTGAGCGTGAAGAACCTTTTGAAAAGGTTAAAGAACTTCCACATAATTGCAAAGTTCAAAGAAGAACCCTGAAATTCGTATAGATCTTTTACAAGATGTTATGAAGGTTCTTTAAACGTACACATTTTTTTTAAAAAACATGGCTCTTTAGGGAGCCAAAACAGATTAATCTGCGGCAGGGTTCAAAGAACGCTTTTTGGCCCTTTTATTATGTAAGAGTGTACACAATACTGATCAAAATATTTACTCTTTATCTGAGGTTTGATAAGTTGGAAGAGACAGAATGTACCAACAGTGCCACATTTAAGCTATCAAAGGTCATGATTACAATGTTTTTTATTCAGTGTATCACATATTGCACTGTACTGAATCCAACTGAACTACTGAAAATATCCATAATATTCTCAGAAAAGCATATTGTGACAGAATCTATCATGATAATGCCTGCCTTACATACCGTCAGGTAAAGGATAAAAACATGCATATTTTTTCTTCCTTTACTGTTTCTGGTAGGTGTATGTCAAAATATTGACTTAGTATCTCAAAATAAGTACTTATTTCTAAATGTATTGGCTGTTATGTTGAAATAATAATTCAATGTGTCAAAATAATGACCTAATAGCTTGTAATAATGATTTATTTGTAATTACTTACTCTCTTGAAATTGAATGTCATAATTCCAACTATGAATAAGTCATTATTTTGAAATATGAATTAATATACATTTAAATATTAATTAAATATTTGAAAAAAATAGTCATTTCTATATTACATTAATATTTCAAGGAAATGCCTTTCATTTTTATGAATTAATACTAATTTAATATTCTAATACAAAATGCATCATTATTTTAAAAATAAGTCATTATTTACAGATATTAAGTCAATATTTTAATACAATATAAGTCATTATTTCAAGAAAATAAGTGACTATTTTGAGATACTAAGTCAATATTTATGGAAAACAAGTTAATATATATGAAAACAGGTCAATGTTTCAAGAAACTCTCATTTTGAGATATTAAGTAAATTTTTCAAGAAAGGAAGTCACTTTTTTGAAAGACTGAGCCAATATTTCAAGAATTATGTAATTATTTTGAGATCCCCAAGTCAAGGTTTTGAGAAAGTAAGTCACTAATTTGAGTCAATATTTTGACATAATGCTGCCAAAATCATATCATATGAAATTCATATCATATTTCTTAAGTGTATAAAGATAGTAGCTGGTTCCTTTCTCCTGTTTAAAGCCCACAGTACATTTGGCTTGAATCTGAGGGCGAGGGGTTCAGTTTGGCCAGTTTTTGTGCGCTCATGTTGACCCTGCTCAGCTTTTTACTGTACTTTCTAAACAGACACAATGACCCCTCACACAAAAGGGGTCAGCCCTCTATTGGTGCCTGAAACCAGTTTTAGCCAGAAACTGTAGCATGTGGTCTCTCTGGAAAAAAGGAAGGGGGTAAAAGTACAAATGCTACACAAGTGTAGGCAGCTAGCCTGGCTCTGCCTGGTTGGTGCTTTGTGCTGCAGTCTCAAGTGACCACTCTCCAGATTCACAAAACAGGGGTAAGAGACCACACATTTCTTGTTGCTAAAAGCTAATTTCTTGTTGGAAAAGCTGTGGTTGGCTTTTGCAGTTTAGGTTGCAAAGTAAGTTATGATGCAATAAGAAAAACTTTAGCATACAGTCTCGGAAATGACTGTAGCTTTTAGGGCACAAATACCGTCACTGGGATGGTACCCTCAAGGGTGCATCTTCAGTAATGTCAGTTAAGGAACTTAAGTGTACCAGATTCCATTTGAAAGTTGCATTGACTCCTGGTTTGTTATTTATTTAATTATTTTATTCAGAAAAGTAATTAAAGTAATATTAATTTGTACCTTTCATTAAAAAAGTGGATGTAGTGAACCTTTAAAAGATACAGAATTGGATCTTAATGGTCATTGTTTTTACATTGTTTGTATCTTGGGGGGCTAAAATGTACCCTTTTCTGATGTAACTTCAGTGTAATTACATGAGGTCATATATTTTAGATTTTATTTTCACTAAATTTTATGTGATTTAGGGTGTAATTCAAAATGTACTATTAACCGTGTTTGTTTGTGCCGTCAAAGATCTGTGGACATTTAGAGGTGTCAGCATGGCGTGTTCCAGTGGGGATATGATGCATGTGGTGATAGTGGGGATTATACTGGGGTAAGTAGTCTTTTACAACCATTTCACTGAAGGCTGGCGAAGAAAGCATGTTTGCTGCCTTTAGTTAATCAGTTCTCTCTGCAAATGCGTTTGTCAGTGGTGTCTACTCCGCATCTCATTTATTGAGTTAAACAAGTTCTCTAATGGACCAAATGTGATTATTTCTGCCTTTTGCCTACCTAGCATTATTGCGGCCGAGTGAAACGATCATCTAATCTCATTGTGTCCATAATCAAATTAAAGGTAAAGTGCTCTCTATCTCCATGATTTTGCGTCTCTTATTGGAGCACTAAAGAATCAATATGATGTTTTATACACACAGATCTTGCACACTCCTAAAAATAAAGGTGAAAAAAGGGTTCTTTATAATGATGCCACTAGAGAACCAGTAATACTCCTTAAGAGGCTTTGATTGGATAAGTCTTTTTTCATTTTTTGTAGAGGAGGTGTGAAGAATGTCTGTTTTAAAGGCTTTTGCATAATGTGAAAAATACCAATAGACACACACATTCGAACCAGACCCTTTACTTTTTAAAGGAATGTGTCAGGAAAAAAAGGCCTGTAAGTGGATAGGCTAAATTTCAAGTCATACATTGATGCACATTGAACTTAAGGTTTGAGGCAATGGCAGATAGCAGTGGTTGATAAGCAGTGATTGGCCATAACACAGCTACAGCACTCACAGAAAACAAATCAAGTTCCATTATCTGAAAAAATTCTGCTTATTTAATATTCTTTCCCCATTTGATTGGGCAGGCCTTTGATCAATCTGTGTAGGCCCAGGCATGCCTATGCCTGCCCATTGTTACACTCGAGGTCTTCATTAAGGTACTGCAGACTTGTTAATGGGGTCTAGGACACAGTATCACTTACTGTGAGCTACAAAAATGAACAAAACTACATGGTGCAGCTAAACACTGCTGCCGACCACTTTAGACAACAGGTGCTGTGCTGAATTCTGACTCCCACATCTAAAGTAGTGGCCTGCTCTTTTTTGCTACACCTAGACTTTAAGAGAGAAGTTTTGGGCATGTATTTACAGAAATTATTTGGCTATTTGACTATTGACTTCTAATGTTTGCTAGCAACATTAGTCTTTAACATTAAATGAAAGAGAAATTCAGGTACCCAACATGGCTGAGCTACATCTGAGGTAAATGGAAAACTGCAGTAGTAGATTTTTTGCTTAACCATTTTTTTAAGAATGTACTTATCTTGCTTCTCCAATAAAAGTATGTCTTCTTTTTGGCCCACCTCAAACAGAGTGGCCTGTTCAGGTCATGGTGCCATCCAACACCCTGACTATGATGACACTCCCACACCAGAGTTTCTTAACTCCTCCTGGATGGCGGATATCCCCGAGAACCAGCCCCTGTCTGAGGTCACTATGCCAGGCACCCACAACACCATGGCCTTTTACGGTGGCTCCCTTGCTCAGTGCAACTCCTGGCCCCTGGCAAGCCAACTCCAAGCTGGCATTCGCTTTTTAGATATACGTGTACGTCACATACGGGGAAACCTCACCATCCATCATGGCATCTCCTACCAGTGGGCACACTTTGGGGACGTGCTAGAGGGCATAGTGGCTTTTTTGAAGCAGCACCCCACTGAGACAGTGCTGATGAGGCTAAGAGAGGAGTTGAGTGAGACTGGAGATATCTACGGGGCTGTGGTACGCTATGTTCATCAATATGCTCACTGGGATCTGCTCTGGCATAGCCGGCTGATGCCAACCATGGGAGAGGCAAGGGGCAAGCTGATTGTCCTGCAAGACTTCCCTGGACCTGACCTGGGCATGCGGTACCGATCACTGGATATTGCTGATTACTGGCAGGTAAGAATAGTTAAGGTAAGAATTACATGGTCTGCACCATAGATATACATATCAGAGACCTACTTAGCTGAGAGAGGAAGGCACCATTCCAGCAGTGCTCCATTCTTCCCTGAGGTAAGGTATTTTTACATCTGATTTTTCTTAAGGGGGTGATTCAATGCTGTTCTGACATGTTCAGACCAATCCAAAATTTTGGCTCCCTGAATCACACAAAAATGGTTCCAACTCCCCAAGAAATCTACATATTTATAGCTTTATTATTACTAACCAAGAACTTCCACAATGCATTTAGACCCTTTTACGTAACACACCAGCACTCCAAAGGAGCATGTTTACCTCTGAGCACTAGGAGTGCATAGTTGTCAACTTCTGGGGACAGTTACATTCACAGTCTTCAAACTGTATAATTTCACTGATACTCAATTAGTACATTTTTACCCTTTTATAATGTAGGTATCTTGTAATCACACTAATCACTTCATACAGAATCAGAAATGTAGTTTTTGTTTAGTCATGCAGCTAGATGATCTCTTGCACAAAGACTTATACAAACACAAAGGCAGTCAGACAGAGACAGCGCAGAGTCAGGTTGCATTCTGTGATGAACTGACAGAACAAAAAGTCACTGATGATGTACCATCATCTGCAAGGTGATATCAAGGAGTAAATGTATCTTTGCACATGCATTTTTAAGGAAGCTACGCCCTAGATGCAGGAACTTTGTTTTTTCTACAGTCAGATTGAATTACAACCTGATTAATACAGCACAACACTTTTTAAATTCTGGTGAGTGACATTCTTGGCTTGTTTCTCACAAAGCTGATATCTGTTCATTTGACATAAGTCAGTATGTCTAAGTTCCCACTCCACCACTCGCAGTCTGATCAGATGACTGTTTAGACCAGTCTAAAAAAATGGAGCACCACAGCTTTACTGGCCAGAGTTTATGGGGAACCTGTATTACGTTAGATTTCCCGTACCCCAGCCTTATACAGCTGTATATCTCCAAAACAGCAAGAAAAAAACAGATTTTATACAGGTAAACCATATGGGTCGATAACTATGAGAGTGAGACGCAGGCCTGTGTTTGTTTTGCAGTTTGTTTTTTTTTTGATAAATGTGAAGTATTCACAAGAACAATGCCAACCGAGACAGCAAAAAGCAAGGACTATTGTCTGCCATTATTTACCAAGACACATTGGATGTTCCAGTGACCACAGGCAGGGACAGTTTTAGCTTCTGGTGGCCCTAAGTAATAATTTTTGATACAAATACTGATGTAGCGTAAAATTAACCGTCTCAGAATTCTAGATTCAGGGGTCTCACAAAGCAGCATTTCTTGATTACCCAGCTTTTGGCTTAATTCAATCTAATCCTGAATCTCACAAGAGTGGATAACTTTTTACTGTGCTACCATGGCAACTTATATTGCTCGCCTAACCTGCTCTAAGGCAATAAGCACCAACACAGTAGCAGTGGTGACAGCATTCTTTGCTGTTATAAATGCTTTACTTTCTAAATATTTAGGCTGCATGGTTTCTTACTCTTTCTTTGGTGGCTCATCCCCATGTTTCACACAATTGGCTGCTCATCATAAACATCATGCTTTCATGTACACAAGCATGAGAACTAATCACAGGTTAATCATAGTATCTAAACCTGGATTAAACACAGCTTGAGTATTTAAATTTGGATTAATCACAGTTTATGTACCTAAGCCTGGATTAATCACAGCCTGCATATCTTAACCTGGATTAATCACAGCATGAGTATCTAAACCTGGATTAATCAGAGTCTGAGTATCTAAACCTGGATTAATCAGAGTCTGAGTATCTAAACCTGGATTAATCAGAGTCTGAGTATCTAAACCTGGATTAATCACAGCCTGAGTATCTAATCTGTCTAATCAGTCTAAATTGAACCTGCTTCATTAGACAGACCCTAGATTCCCTACTTTTTGTTGTCCAATTACAATCTAAAACAAATGGCATAATGTTGATACTACAAAAAAATAAACATACCTTTATCTGTAAGAGTAAGGCCCTCTCCAATCACTGGGGGGAGACCCAGTGCGACTCCTGGCTGCAATCAAGCACAATGCCCTACACCTGGACAAAGGGACTAATTAAGGCCTGAGACAGAGACTTGCATTGCTGAGTCTTTGCTTTAGAGTTCTGGCAAAAAAAACTGACTGGTAATTTTGGGTATAAGCTTTAAAATGTTTCTTTTAAGATTCTTTTTCTCTGTAACTGCTCGAGCCTATCCTCTGTCTCGAGTTGTTTCTTTCCTTCTCAAAAAAAGCTGATCCTAAGAGAAGGAAAAGGAAGCTGAGAGTTTTTCTGTTCATTATTTTTTTATCTAAACTTTCTGAAAATTTCTCCTTTCTTTGAAGGCGCTGTTTTAGTTTTTCCTTACTCTGGCTTTTGCGTCCCCTTTGTTTTATTTCCCGCCTTTTTCTCTGTCTTTGTTTAAAACCCCTCAGTGCTGAATACATATATGGTGGTGTGGTGGTTAGGCACCTGCCACAGTATCATGAGGTTGTGGGTTTGATCCTTGTTTCTTTCATTTAGTTTTCTATTTCTCAAGTTGCTCTGCATTCGGATCCAACTTCTTTCAGTTCTTAGTAGTAACTCACTCAAAAACACTGGCCCTCTAACCTGAGGGCATGATTTCAAATCCACCCCTGGATGAGTTACCACATGACAGAAAGACTCAGCCAGTTATGGACCTAGCAGCTATTGGGAGACATGAACAGGTCCTTCAGCAGGTACTTACGCAACTCCAGAATATCATTGTAGTCCTCCAAGCAACCCCTGTTCCACCTGCAGTATCTGAGTCTTCATCTTCCCTAAATCCCAATGCCACTGTGGCTGCCCAGCCTATTCCCAGGGGAGAATCCACCCAAAGTCTGCAGGAATGACGAAGGACTCAGGAGGCTGGGTGATCCCAGTCTATCCTGAGCTCCTCTCCCACACTCATGTCCCCAGTTGGTCAGGAATCCTCCAATGAAGGGTATACGCCTATGTATTTGAGGGTCGGTGCCTCTATTGCAGAAACCCAGGACACTTTCTCTTTGGGGTTCTGTGGTGTTCCTCAATGCCTCTTTCACTGGGGCAAGGCAAGAAGGAAAGGCTTAGGGTCTTCACTGACTCTTCATTGAGGGGCAGCAAGGAATTTTATTGACCCCACTCTAGTTAAGGATCTGGGGTTGCCCCTTGTTTCACTTGACCACCCCCTGCCAATATCTACCATTGATGGACATTATCTTGGGCCTGGGGGGGTCTCTCTTCAGACCAGGCCACTCTTGCTGCAGACTGGGCAGCACACAGAGCAAATCTCCTTTTTTCTGATCAGTATTCCTGACCTGCAGCTGGTGTTAGGCTTTCCCTGGCTTCAATGTCACAATCCCCATTTGGACAAGCTTACCCGTTCAGCCCTTTCATGGAGCTCCACTGCCAGAGCACCTGCTTGCAGAACCTCTGCCTTTGAAGCACTGCAGCAGGCTTCCGTTTTTACCAAACTGGACCTGTGCAGCGCCTACAACCTCATCCAGGTTGGCGAAGATGATGCTTGGAAAACGGTCTACATCACTCTGTTGGGTCATTATGAATACTTTGTCATGCACTTCATTCTTACGAACACTCCGGCTGACTTCCAGCAGTACATCAGGTCCTGAGGGAGGCACTTGGTCACAATGTGTTTGTCTACCTGGATGATATTTTCATTTGCAGCAAGTCTATAGATGAACACGTAGCTCCACACTAAGTCCACAGGGTTCTCCAATTGTCCTTGGAGAACCATCTCTTTGTTAAGCTGGAGAAGTCCCTGTTCCATGTCGGTCACCTTCATGGGCTTTGTATTGTCTCAGAATCAACAGAGCACGGATCCTGCTAAGATGGTAGAGCTATACAGCTAATACAGATATTCACATATGAGAATATACAGACAGCATTTTACTTCAGAGGACTATGGACGTGACCAGCAAGCAGTTAAAGAGTTAATGATAATCAACAATACAAAAAATGAAAGAAATTTCCATTCTGTCAGTGTTTTTGGAATGAAACGATCCACCCCCAGCATCTCAAACACTGCTTGAAAAAAGAACATGCCCAAATCTAAGCAATTAGCCTAGACTGCTTTCCATCTAACTTAGTGGGCAAACTTCTTCAGTAGCAAGACTAATATTCCTTGTTATTTATGTATATGATAATCTATCCATCTATATGTGTCTATTCTTCTTATCAATGGAAAGTTTTTTGTGAAAGACAGATTATTACTTGTTTAATCCATGGAGATGTCAGCTGATAAGAGACATTAGAGGAAATTATGGCCTCACTGCAGCACCTCTGTAGGCACTGGTGAACCACAATTAGTCAGTAGTAGCCCACTGATCTCTCTTAGCTAGCTGTGTCTATTCTTGGTCAGTTGAAACTTTTTGTCTGAAAGCTGAAATATGTTATTATCCAACTGTTGTTGTTTGTGAATCTTGTCTGACACCTAAGTACTGTTGGCAGTAAACATAGTAAACCATAGCATTTTTAATATATCTGCATTTTTTGGAGGATATTTACATCTATAGACATATAATGCAGATCTGGAGTACCAGAATGGCAGCCAATATATATATATATATATATATATATATATATATCACTGTAAAACTGCCACATACAAGGTTTATATGTCTGGTACAAACTTCAGTTGTCCACATGTAATCTAGAACAGCCAAGAAATGTTCATGTGAATCATCATTGGCTTAGTGCTGATACACATTCAGAATCCCATAGAAGAGCCAGAAGTAACGTTATCATAAAAGTGTTTTTTCCTCATTTTTTGACCTAGCTTTGACAAATAATGGCTTCTATTGAATGTATGCAGTGTATGCTGTTGCAAATATGACTTAAGTGTCAATCACCTGTCCAGATCTCACTTAATCCAAGAATTTTCAATGGGAAATTACCATTTCATCCTTAGAGGTCATAGTTATTGCAAGCAATAACAAACACATCATAATAATAATTCAATATTATTTCTCACAAATGAAACAAAGAGAGAAATATTGTCTCAAATTTAGTCTTTATGCAGATTCTTTTTATATAAAAATATTTTATCATGATATAAATTTGATGGAAAGTTATTGTTGCATAGTCTTGTTTTGCAGAAAGTAAAAAGTAAATCTGTATCATCTGTTGAGTTTTTGTCATTAAGCATTTTTGTCATTAAGCAACTCGAACCTGTCAATACATATTGTAAACCGAATGTACAAGTAATTCATTATGTTACACACTATACAATTAAATTTGTAATAAATATGTAATTGCCTTTAGATAAACAATCAAACTGAAAGGAATAACTGTCGACCTCTATGGGTAGAGAACTCTGTGACCCTGATCTGAGACTGTATGTTCCAGATAGAGCCCTGTGCCATCCCTTAAATCTGTAACTACATGTAACCAACAAGAGCTTTGTGTCCACAGGTGTCCTCTCTCCAGCCTGAGCAGGTGGATAAGAAATGGAAGAACGTCTACACCCACCTGGAAGAGGCTGTGGTGGGCAACAAGGCCCGTATGTTCCTCACATATGCCAGCGGCGCCAGCATCTTAGCACACCCCAGTGCCCTGGCCAAGCGCATTAATCCACGTCTGTATGAGTACTTAAGTGGCCATGCAGGCCAGAGGAAGCGCTTTGGCATCATCACAATGGACTTTCCAGGAGCCATGTTAGTGAAAACAATCATTGACTTCAACTAAGGAGTAGAAAGGGTGAAATAAAACAGGCATGGACAATACTGAATGAGTGGAAAAACAATATATCTTTTCTGTGATGACAGTGTACCCTTGTCATTGGAGATCTTTTGAACCCTGCTTCATTGCTTTGTTCAAGAAAAACTTGTCTCCAAAAACTAATCTCAAAATTGACTGTGAAATCATTCAATTTCAGCAATTGAGTATATTGTCACTCTCAAAACAATAACCTTTTATTTCCACTTTTGTTGTTGACCTACCCTGTCTACTAATACTAAAAAGGTACTATACTAATTAAAAATTACGCCTCAGGTGTGGAAAATACTTGAGTGAAAGTGCTTCATAACAGTCATGTTTTTCAGGAAGATCTGTATTTCACTCAAGTACTACTAAAAAACTGAATACTTGTACTTTCACTCACTCAATTACATTTCCAAGAGAAAAAAAACATACATTTCACTCCTTACCAGAAATGTGGACTCAAATTGGACTCACATTACACTCAAATTGCATGTTGACTGACTCATGAAATGACTTGGACTCACTTTTAAATGGCTCAAGACTTATGACTTGTTAAAAAAAGAACACAGCTGATTAAATGAAGCCACCACACTTCACTTGGTAAATTAATAAAACTTTTCATTTCCAACCTTATGTGTATGTCTTTCAGTTGAAACTGTTGACTAGCATGCAGTTCAGATAGCAAGTATGTCATCTATCACACTAGATAATCTAGCTGAAGTTGTCAGGAAATGTAGTTGAAGTTTTAGAAAGTTGCAAATCATTTTATTCAAATTTACAAAAGTTTCATTGATTATTTAGTTGGTTATTGTGTTATTGTGCTAGCTACCTAGCATATGAGCTGTATAAACTACAGACTAAACAACCATTTCAAGCTGTTTTGCTCTCTTTCCTTTATAAATCATATTTACTGCATCTTTATACAAAGAAAACTTTTAATGAATGTGTTAAAACATTTATTTTTGACTTTTATATACTTGAGTATGTTTAAATGTAGATTCTGACTTTCACTCAAGTATATTTTTGGTTGCACTTTTAGCTGGGTAAAATCAAACAAACCGAACACTCATACGAAAGGCACTGTAGATGAAATAAAAAGCTAATTAACAGAAACTAACAAAACCTGCAAAGTGTTTTTGCGAAGCTTCTAATGGGTAAGTGAAAATACTTTGAGGTGCACCTATTACTGACAGAGGAGTTCAACTGCACACACAGCTTGTTCAACCTCCACAGAAAAATGTTACTAATAGAAAGGAGCAGCCACACATAAGCCTAACATCACTATGCCCAGTGCCAGGCATCAGCTAGAGGGGCATAAAGCCCCTCAGCACTAGGCTCGGGAGCAGGAGAACTGCATTCTCTGAAGTGATTGAGCTCAATCTTTGGAATGAGTTTAAGTGATATTTGTAATCCAGAACTAATCATCCAACATCAGTACCTGAGCTCACTAATGCTCCTGTGGCCAAATGTATTCAAATCCTCACAACAATGTTCCAGTATCTAATATAAAGCCTTCCCAGAAGGGTAGAGACTGTTATTGCAGAAAAGAGGGGGCAAACAAGTAGGTGTCTACAAACATTTGGACCTATAGTGTAACTCCACATCTGTACTTTTGACTAATTTCTGAAAACATTTTTATCTTTTTTGTAGCATATAAATTGTATAGTCAAAAGTATGTGAACACCACTCCTAATTATCGAGTTCAGTTGTTTCAGTCACACCCATTGCTAACAGATGCTTAAAACCAGGCAGATGCAATTTGTGCAATTTCGATAGACAAACACTGGCAGTAGAATCGATGGCACTGTCACAGGATGTCACCTTTGCTACAATTCAGTTTGAGAAATTTGAGAAATTCCTGCCTTGCTAGATCTGCGCTCGTCAACTGTAAGTGCTGTTATTGTGAAATAGACGCATCCAGGAGCAACACAAGCTCAACCACGAAGCATCACTCACTACAGAGTTCCAATCTGCCTCTGGAAGCAACATCACACAAGAACTGTGTGTCGGGAGCTTCTTGAAATGAGTTTTCATGGCCAAGCAGCTACACACAAGCCTTAGATCACTATGCACAATGCCAAGCTTTAGCTGCAGTGGTGGAAAGCACTCCACCACTGGACTCTAGAGCAGTAGAAATGTCTTCTGTGGAGTGGTGAATCATGATCCACCATCATCAGACCTGATGAATCTAGGTTTGATGTATGCAAGGAGAATGCCAAGTACTGGAATGCATAGTGCCAACACCAAATTTTGGATGAGGAGAGACAATGGTCTGACAAACACCTATTATGGACAATTATATGCTTCCAACTTTGTGGAAACACTTTGGGGAAGGCCCTTTTCTGTTCCAGCATGACTGTGCCCCTGTGCACAAAGCAAGGTCTATACAGATGTGGTTTGATGAGTTTGATGTGGAGGAACTCCAGTGTCCTTCACAGAGCCCTGACCTCAACCCCACTGAACACCTTTGTATTGAGTTGAAACATCAAGTGTAAGCCAGGCCTTCTACATCAGTGCCTGGCCTCACTAATGCTCTTTTGACTGAATGGGCAAGAATTCCCACAGACACACTGCAAAATCTTGCAGAAAGCCTTCCCAGAAGAATGGAGGCTGTTACAGATGCAAAGTGGGGCCAACTTAATATTAATACTCATGAATAGAATGTCCTTCAAGCTTGTGGTGTGATAGTTAGATCTCCACATTCTTTTGGCCATGTAGTGTACATCTAAGTTGCTTGTGAAAAAAAGTTATTTAATGAAAATCAAAATGTGTGCCTCATGCTCCCCTTCTAATTTTATTTAAAATAAAGCAGAAAGAAAAACCTGACATTTTATTTCTCATTGACAGGACTTTTAGAGATTCCTTCACTTTTGGCTCAATCACTCGGCCAGCAGGGTGCTGTTAGGGTTATGAGCAAATTAAATGTAAATGTCACAAAATGACAGATTAGCCACAGGCTCTGACAATAACACGTCTGGACACATCTGAGTACACAGCGTAGGCTGTGGATCGCACACTAAATGGCAGAAATTTCCTCCTTATACCTGTTTTCGATCCTTTCCTAAAGGATAAAATGGATGAAGAGGAAGGATAGAGGAGCATGTACTGTTGTTAGGCTTCACTGAAATGCTTGCTTTCAAGGTGGGCCGAGAAACATGTCTAAAGTTGTGCTCTTGATGAACTCCCTTTGTGCCTGGAGAGAATAAATTGCCACAATAAATTCACAAAAGCAGCAATACTGTAGGCTGGGACAGGAATATAATATTCAAACTTCAGTTCTAACAAATCAACTGGAATCAGATTTCACTATTGTTAAACTATTGTCCACTGATAGATAGGTTGTGTGTATTTGAGAGCAATAAGCTCTTTTTATGGCCAGCTTTCTTCACAGCTCACTTGCTGCCCATCAGTTTTCTCAGAGATCTTGACTCTTCAAAGCAACAAATCTTTCTTTTATTGAGAAAGCTGATAGGTCGAAGTGTCTCCTCAGTTATGGGATACACTCTTAAAAGTTAAGGTGCCATAAAGTGTTATTTGGTGTGATGCCTTGGGAGAACCACATTTGGTTCCCCAAAGAACCTTTCCTTGGATGATTCTAGGGCCGTTTCTTGGTGTTAGCAGTATAAGCAATTGCTTAAAGCCCCAGAGCCACAATGGCAGAGAAATTCTTATGAAGGCATCATTGATGGCTTTGTTTCCATATATATGTTATTTGAATTATTACTATATATTAATTTGATTTAAAAAGCCAGTTTTGTAATTTGTAATAAAGAATGTGTTTGACTTGTATATATGCAGTCAGGGCATTTAATATTTGGACATGGACAAAGTTATTGTTATTTTAACCATCTGCCACAAAATAGTGAAGTTGAACCTTAATAAAAATATGAGCTCAAAGTGCTGACTTTTAGGGGATTTACATTCAAATCAGGTAAATAGTGTAGGGATTACAACCATTTTCATACACTTTTAGGGGCTCAAAAGACAATTGGCTGGTCAGTTGTTCCATGGCCAGGAGTTTGTTGTTCCCTCATTATTTCACTTATAAGTGTGTGTTATTCTCTCATTATTTCTCTTACAAATAAATAGAAAATGAAATGAAAAGAGAAAATGAAGTTGTCAACACCAGTGGAGCAAGCAATCATTAGGCTGAAAAATCACAACAACCACCTCATCTGTCAGGCATGGTGGAGGTAGTGTCATCACGGCGTAGGAATGTATGACTGGCAATTGAACTGGTTCCCTTGTATTTGCTGAAGATGTGAGTGCTCACAAAAGCAGCAGGATGGAATCCAAAGTGTGTAAGGCTGTATTATCTGCTCAGAATCGGTCAAATGCTTCAAAACTCATTGGACAGAGCTTCACACTGCAGATGGACAATGGCCCGAAGTATTCTGTGAAAACAGCCCAAGACTTTTTAAGGAGAATAAGAGATCTGTTCTGCAATGGCTAAGTCTTTCCTTCAACAATCAAATTAGTGCATTAGTGTATATTTACAAAAATCAACAAATCTCTTTTCTTTGAGCTGTATTCAACTAAATACCTGTAAAAGACAGTTTACAAATCACTGCTTTCTGTTTTTATTTGCATTATACCCACTTTCCCAACTTTTTTGGAATTGGATTCATACATACTTTAGGAAAATGACTCTTATCTCAGCCACCTAATCATGAGAGCTACAGTGGACATGGTGATTTAATTTCCCACTTACTACAGTCATGAGGAAATTAATCAGTCACTGGATCAAATCAAGCAGAAGAGCAGCAGAGCAGCAGTGTCTGCAGGGCAGATACATGGAAATCAATCAGTGTTTACAGGTGCTGAGGGAAGTTATTTCTGACTGCTTTATCTGGAAACCGTGGCACCTTGAGGCCATCAACTAATGGAAGACAACAAGATTACATCAGTTTTCCGTCTGCACCATGAAGACTTTGTTGAAGGAAATATAACCATATCACCTGCACAGCCACTTCATGTTATTTAGTATTGCCTCAGGATAATATTGTTTTTTTTCCCTCATATTTAGCAGAATGTGTCCCTCCAGTTAATGTCATACTGAAAAAAATAAGATTATTAAAGTATGTGCCAATTCCCCTGTTAATACGTGTTATATGTTATTAGCTTAGGAATTAAATGCTTTTATCAACAGGGTTCTTAATTCTGCTAAAATGAAGTGATAAGGAGAAATGCAGGCATACAGACTGATGAATCCCTCTTGGGTCAGTACTGCTTAAGTCAACTCTGCCAACTGCAGAATCTTAATAATAATAGGGATAGTTTGGGTTGTAAAATCTGATTGGCTGAGCCATGCTGTGATTATTATTAATCATAAGCAAAATGTTTTATTGATGCTATAAGTCATGAAAGGCTGCATGTTACAGTGATTTTACTTTTTATTGTTCAGTCAAAAATGCCATT